CGGGGTGGAGGTATGGGTACCTTATCCTCCTCGGAGGGGGAAGGCCCGCCGCCGCCGCCTGGCGCCCAGCACGGTGCATGCCAGGGGCCCTGCCGCCCAGGGCCACCCCTCCGTCCTGAGCGTGGACCTTCCCTGGCCGACGGAGCGGTCGGGAACTCCTGCCTGGCGCGTCGCGGCGGCGGCCCCGGCGACTCGCCCTTGAGAAGAAGAGAAAAGGCCATGGACATGAGCTCTTGGCGCTCCGCTTTTGGCGCTCCACGCGGATTTCCTGGATCTGCGCTGGACCCCCTACCTGGCGCGCGGAGCGCGCCAGGGGCGGCGCCAGAGGCGCCGCCGGGGGAGGCCCAGCACGGATCCGAGCACTCCGCGCGGAGCGCCAATGATTAATATGTATGGCGTTTTTCCTTCCTCGACCCTCTTGCAAGCGGATCGCACGTCGCTCAGCTCGGCGGAGCGGGAGGATGGGAGAGGCTCGGGACGCTAGCGCTCGATGACTGGGGCGTGAGCAGCGTGTCGCGCCGAAGTGTGTGATGGGCCAGACCCGCGGGAGCGACGCGCTGAGCCAAAGTTCATGACCGCATCTTCGTCCCGAACCGTTCTGCTGAAAGTCTTCAGGGGTCCAGGTCTTAAAACCAGGGGCCTTCCCAGAGATCAGACCTCGCGAACAAAAACTAAAGCATCGGGAAAGATCACAACCAGAGACCCTGACCCCATCTCTGTGCATCTTTTCTGAAACCGGGCGAACACGCCCGTTGTGAAAAAACTGCGCAACCTGGGAGACAGAACCCTCAAACATTTTCCAGCCCGCCCAACAATAGGGAGACACGAATCCCCGCCGCGACGACGAGGTTTTAGGACCAGTCCCATTCACCGCCGAGAGAAGGGGGGGGGTAGAAACTAAAAACCCTTTGAGGTTAGATCTCAGGGAGTTCCCCAAAGTCCTGAGCCGATCTGTCGGCGACCTCGGGGCCCGCGGAGGGACCTGGAGGGCGGGCCGGGCCAGTGGAGGGCCCAACGCGGCGAGAGAAACCCCAGGATTAGGTCGCGCATGTCCTCCTACAAGTGGATCTGCGAAGGACACAAAGAAAAGGCAACACATTGTGGAAAAAAGGAAACAGAGCACAACAAATCAGAAACCAGACTATGTTACTGCTGTTCTTCAAGATTCCTGCCGTAGAGGGACATGCCCGACTGAAGGCAGGAGGCCAGCTGCCGCCGTCGCCACCGCCGCCGCCGTCGCCACCGCCGCCGCCGTCGCCAGTCGCTGCCGCCGCCGCTTGCCAGTCGCCCGCCGCCGCGGACTGCCAGCCGGCCGCCGTGGCGGCAGCGGCCCCTCCGCACCGCCGCCGCCCGCGCTCCGGGGGCCCGCGCCTTGTCCCAGGAGCTGCGCCGGCTGCCGCCGGCGGCCTCCCTCTTCTCGTCCGCCTGCCGGGACTCGTAGAAGTTGGCCAGCGGGTCGGCGCCCTCGCCCAAAGGGCGGAGCAGGGCGAGCCGAGGCGAGGGCGGCCCGAAGAGTCGGTCCCCGGACCCCTCCTGGGGTCCACGCGCACCAGTTTTCCGAGCCGCGCCCAGCCGTGGCGACGAAGGGGCCTCCCCGAACCCAGACCCCCGACGTCGTGAGAAACTCAAAACGTCGGCGCCCCGAAGTCATGGAGACCTTCCCTGGGACCGGCTTTTCATCCCGAGTCGTTTCTTGACGCTCCCGAGGCCCGGCGAGGGCCTCCAGAGGCCGAAAGTCGTCAAAAACCTTCGTCGTGAGCTTCTCGCGACGTCGGAGGTCTGGGAGGGCCAATCTGCCGCTGTCTCAGCTCGCCGCCCTCCGAGAGAAGCGGCGGCGAGGTGGGCGGCGGCGGCAGCGGCGGCGATGCCGCCGGCTGCGGCGGCCCGGAGGCGGCGGCCGGCACGTTTTCGTGCGCCGTCGTTGACGCCGTCGTCCTCGTCCGCCGTCGCCCGACGTCGTCGTCGCCGCCGCCGCCGTCCGTCGTCGTCGTCGTCGGCCGCGGTTCGTCCGTGGGTTGTCCGTTGTCGCTCGTCCGTCGTCCGTTGTCCTCGTCGTCGTCCGTCGTCCGCCTTTCGTTCATCATTCGCCCGTCGTTGTTCGTCGTCGTCCGACGTCGCCCGCCGTTGCCCGCCGTCGCCGTCCGCCGCCGTCGTCGTCGTCCAGTGTTGCCCGTCGTCGTGCGTCGACGTTCATTGTCGTTGTCGGCGTCTTCCTCCTCATTGACCTTTGATTATCCTAATTGCGCCTGCCCTCTCCTCATCCTCCTTCTCTTGCATGTCTCCGCCGAGATTCCGTCGGGGGGGATCTTCCCTTGGTGGTGGCACGCCTGAGTGTCGTTTTGGTACTGGGTGACGCCCGGGCGTGACCCCCCCCAACTCCCCCTCCGTTGTGCTCTCTGTGGTGGTCTCTGATTCTCCTCAAAGAACCTCCCCCACCACTGCCAGACGTACGCTAAATACGGAACGAGTCCCATCTTTGGCCCCAAAGAAACGTCGAGTGCACGAGAACCGCGTCAGGACCAACCGTGGAAGGATCTGAGGAACAGCGAACCACTTCTGTGGCCAAGCTGTTCCTTATTTGAGAGTCTGGCCGTATGAGTGGCGGGCGCACTGCTACACCCGCGGCCAGGCCAAGCCAAGTGCGCCTCAAGCTCGTGATCCTCCTGCTCCTGGTGCCTGCACGGCCGGTATTTCCAGGCCCTGGCCGTCTCCCTCTCGCAGAGACAGCGTGGCCAGCTCATGGGGCAGCACTTGCGACGCCCACGCTGGATGCATGGGGCGGGCGTCTCGGTTGATGGGCCTGTTTTCCACCACCACCACCACCATCTGTTGGAGGGGGAGGGGGTTCTCCTCCACCTCCTCATCCTTCACCTCCTCCTCCTTCTCCTCCTGGTCGTCGTCGTCATCCTCCTTCCCCCTTACGACTCAACTAGTTATGGTGGTGGTGGAAAACAGGCCAATCATCGGTCCCTGGTCCCCTTTCCAACGGCCGGCTTTCTGTCCGCCCCGCCCGCCCACCCCGCCAGGGATCGGCGCGCTGAACCCCCTCCGCGCGCCAGGGGCGCTGGAGGCGCCGACAGGGGGTGCCAGCGCAGTTCCAAGAAATCCGCGCGGAGCTCCGAAAGCTTCTGCTCACCACGTCGCTTCGTCTTCGACCGATGGGCCCTCGGTGGCGGTGGCCCTCCTCCTCCGCCTCCGCCTCCGCCTCCTCCTCCTGCTCCTCCCTCCTCCTCCCTCCTCCTCCTCCTCCTCCTCCTCCTCCGCCTCCTCCTCCTCCGCCTCCTCTGAGAGAACCCCCCTCCCCACCGAGCCGAGACGTCCGCCACCGTGCCCGCCCCCCCCCACCCGGCCTGGCTCGGCGGCGGCGGCGGCGGCGCCCTGCCGCCGCCTCAGCGGCCGCCCCGATCGATCAATCGTGGATCGACCCGTCGGATCAGTCGTTGGTCGATCGATGGAGGCGCCAGGACAGAGGTGAAGGCCCAGACACGCAGCGTACAGTCGGCCTCGATCGGACACGACACGCGAGAGGACACAAGACCCTTCCGAGGGCCACGTTGCCACAGGAATGTAGGAATCATGGGCCGCGAGGCACAGGACACGAGGGTGCCCTTGATCTGGCAGGGTCGACCTACTAATCCGGGCCGACTGTAACCTCCTGAGCAACATCAGGGCGGACGTTTGCCTCCATGGTCTCGGCCCCTGGAGGCCCTCCCCGTGCCCAGTGGCCGTCAGAACGCGCGTCGGGGCGAGAGAACTGGCCCGGGGACAGGGTCGGGGCTACTGGGGGCCGCCCACTGAAAACATCAATGAGGGATATACCCTGGGTTACCAGTGCGTGGTCTGTAAACCTCCTGGGACCTCCCCAAAGCCTAGAGCCGCCAGGACGCGGCACGTCACGCAGGGTTTACCCTGCCAGCCCACAGGAGTTTCAGCGCACAGCGCCTCGTAAAACCAGGGTAGGAGCGTTTTTTTTTCTGCCCTTGAATCAAGACGTCACATGTCTGGGAAACGGCTCGTGGGTCGGCAACGGCAGGCATGGACCATGACCGCGATCGCCGTCGACAAGATGCAAGAGTGACCCTAGGCAAGAGTGACCTTTAGTGCGCGAACTAAGGGGGCGCAAGGTGGCCAAAACCAAGCACGCAAACAGCCACTATCGCATGGCGCTCAGCGATCGGGGGACCCCAATGAGCCCGCACCAAAGGTCACTCCGGCGAAAGGTCATTCTTACGTGCAGTCGATCTTGACATGGTCGTCGTGCGTCTCCCCTTGACATAGGTGGAAGTTCGAACCACTTTCTCGTCACCTTCCGGCCTCTGGAGGCTTGAGAGCCGACCGATCCGACTGCTCCCCCCGCCCAGGAAGAAGTCAGATCAGACCCGAGACAGGGTGACAAGCTCTAGTTTAGAGCAAGCCGCAGTCAACAAAGCTGAGCCACGCGTGGGCGTGCTGCCACATGTTACGAATCGCATTGCGTAGCTTTAAGCTGCACGGACGCCGAGTCATTCACTGTTTCAAGACGGTGCAGCGCAGCGCATCCCGCTGGATAAAACTTTTGCACTCCGCTGCTTGCTTCGACTGAGGCTCTGCTTTGCATCGCCTTGGCGTGCGCTGATTTGAACCGCATTGTCTGCTGCGCTCTACCGTGCGCCGCGCCAGATCATTCGGCGCTCGCTCTCTCGGCTCGGCCCAGCCTTGCGAGCGGATGGCGCGGAGGTCTGGCTTTCCATCCTGAGCCGTTCTCGGACTGCCGCGGGGTCCCGTGTGGGCCCCGGGAGGCGGAACACTTGCAAAAACCCTCCGTTGTCATTTCCCAGAGGCGAAAAGATAGGAAAAACGTATGGACACAAATAGTCGTCATATCGTGGGAGATCTTGGTCGTGATCCACTCGCGATCGTGGAGGGCCCTGACATCCTCCCGGAGGATGTCAGGCCCCTCCAGCAACAAGCAGGCTTAAGGCCTGCGCCCACTGGTGTGTGGTTCGGGTCTCCTCGACCGCCTACCGGCATGTGGTTCGGGTCCGTGTCCCGGCGATCGTCCCTCCCCGACCGGCCACAGCTGGGGTGATCCCTGTCCCCCAGGGGAGCCCACCGCATCGATGATCTCCTCTCGAGACCGCCGAGGCCGATGGCGCCCTCCAGGGGGTGAAGACGCCAGACGTGCGAGGTGTTGTTCTCCAACACGCGGTCCCCGGAAGTCCCGATCCCTTCCCCGGGGCCGGGTTTCCCCCCGCATCGTTTTGTTGAGGGTCCCATGCAAAGCGCGGCGAGGCCCCCCAAAATAGGCCGAACCGTGGCCAAAAACCGCACGTCGTGATTCGCGCCCACGACGCGAGCACGTCTGGGATATCGCAGCTTCCCCATGTTGTGGCCGATCCGCCTCCGGTCCCGGCGCTCGTCTCGGCGGTCGTCCCGGCGCCCCCGGTCGTCGCGGCGGTCGTCGCGGCCGCCTCCGCGGCCGCGGTCGTCCCGCCCGCCTCCGCGGCCGCGGTCGCGCTCGTCCCGCTCGTCACGGCGCCCGCGCCCGCGGTCGTCCCTCTCGTCCCGGCGCCCGCGGTCCTAGAGGAAGCAAGACCCCCACGGGCGGCGGCGGGCGGCAAAGTGGCGAAGACTCGGCATGCGCTTCCAATTTCTCCGTGGCACAAGCGGTAACTGCTCAGTGAGAACGCTGTTTGTGGAAAAACTGCCTATCCGTGGGGAGCGCCGCAAATTTGTGTGCCTCGAGGTCCTCTCGCCGCCCGCGGTCGTCCCGCTCGTCCCGGTCGTCCCGGCGGCCGCGGTCGTCCTGCAGGAAAAAAACGATTCCGAGACCGCTGCTGCATGGACCTCTCCCGTGGTGCGTTCTGACCAGGAAGGTTCGGTGCGAATCCAGCCGTGGCGACGAGAGAAAGGTAAGCCAAAGTCTCGCCCAGAATCTCACTCACCCCCACCACCGACGGCGGCACACGCGGGAATCCCTCGCAGGCGGGGTGCGGGGACCAGGGGCGGGGATCAGACTCAGGCGGCCTTCGAGGCTGGCACTCGCGTGTGGGCCGCTCCCCCAGACATCAAAGGTCCATGCCCAGACCCGCGACGTCGTGAGAAACTCACGACGTCGGCCCCCCGAAGTCAAGGAGACCTTCCCTGGGACCGGTTTTTCATCCCGAGTCGTTCTTTGACGCTCCCGAGGCCCGGCGAGGGCCCGGCAAATCGTCAAAAACCCTCGTCGTGAGTTTCTCGGGACGTCGGAGGTCTGGGTATCAGTCCCCCCTCTGAAGTCCTGCCGGCCGCCGCGCTCCTCCTGACGGCCGCGGTCGCCCAGCGGCATGTGGTTCGGGTCCGCGTCGCGGCGCTCGTCCCGCCGATCCCGGCCCGCGTCGCGGCGGTCGTCGCGGCGGTCGTCCCGGCGCCGGTCGTCCCAGTCGTCCCGCCGTCCGCGGCCGCGGTCCTCCTGCCACTCGCCCTGCGGGCCGTGGTCGTCCCGCCGGCCGCGGCCGCGGTCGTCCCAGCCGTTCTGCTGCTGGCCGCGGTCGTCCCAGTCGCTGGGGTCCGGGTCGCCCGCCGGGCGGTCCTGGGCGCCGGCCATGGTCCCATCCCCTGAGATCTGGGCGTCGCGATTGTGTCACGCCAGTTGCGGGCCACGGGGTCACGACGGATCGATGCGACTCGAAAGTGATGCAAAAAGATTGTGTGTAGGGCTTCGGTCGCGATTCTGCGCTATCGCAATGTTGTTTACCGTCGCATCTCATGGCCATAGGGGACCCTTCTATCCTCGCGTAGAGAAATCAATTGCGGCGGGAAGAGTTTGCCGTGTTGGCCCACGTTTGGCCCCCGACATGGCCCTGAGACCGTCAAAACACGGATGGGGATGACAAACTGGTCTCGGGGAAGGGGTCTAGACCTCCAGGCGCCCACCTCATGAGGAAGTTCACTACGTCGGATGTCTAGCGTTGTGGATGCCACGACAATGGACACCCTAACAGTCCTATCATCGTTTTAAAAATGTGTCTAACATGTAGGAAAGTGTCGTGAACATGCTTGGAACCTGTTCTTTTACATGTTTGACAAGTTTTAACACATTTCTGGACATCTGGAAACTATTTGGCAACATGGTTCCTCTCCATTGATCGTCCTCCACAAGTCTAGTGCCGACTTGGCTCGTGGAGGGCAGCTCTGCCCGCCGAGGAGGATGAGGAGGAGGAGGGGGCGGAAGAGGAGATGAAGTCAGGCTTCCAGCTCGCACCCGAGGCTGGGCCGCTCGATCTCAGAGTCACGCCACAGCAGCAGGGGAGAGAAAGAGAGACAGAGCGAGAGGCAGGACCGGCAGGAGGAAAGGAACGAGGAAACAGAGGAGGCGGAGGAGCAGGAGGTGGAGGAAATGCAGGAACACAAGGAAGAGAAGTGGGGATAACACGAGAGGCGCAGGACGAAGAGGAAGGTAGCGTTCAAGGGCGAGTTACCTACTCAGACACTGAGCTGGAATGGTTGATCCCCACAGTCACCGTGGGTCGTGCAAGACATCCTAGACAAGAAGAGCGGAGGCAGGGGAGTCACAAGGCGGATGCCAGGAGGAGAAAGAGAGCGAGGAAAGAGGGACAGGTGGACCAGGAGCAGCAGTAAGCCCAGATCTCCGACGACATACCTGCTGATTCAATCTGGGAGCGTTCCCTTGACTTCGGCATCTGGGGCTCGCTTTCGAGCACCAGGACCATCAAGCATTGATCCAGGGCGAGAGACTAGAAAGCTTGCTGGATGTGGTCGGGGCCTCTGGGGCCGCTCATTGAAATAATCAAGTCGTCGGATGTCTGATGTCTGGGAGGAGTGCAGTTGAGGGGAAAGAAAAGGGGCTGGCCCGTGGTCCACGCTCTCAGACAGCATACACCGCACGCCGCTGCCAGCGCGCTGTCTCGTTAAGCTGTGGTTGCGCCATCCCCATCGACGTCACTCCTCTCGATGAAAGCTTCGGGGCCACCTTTTCCTGGACGGACTCTGTCATCATCATGCTGTAGTCGAACATGCCTGCCTTCCTTTGCCTGGAAAACGTAACACTGATGTGGACGTTGCCGCGAAGCAGTCCGAGGGCAGCGGCGGTGGCACCCGCTTGGGATCACCAGCTGGCGCCAAGGACCCTGGTCGACGGCTGGCTGCTAGCCGCGACGAGGAACTAAAAAGCAACACCTCAGACCCAGACCCCCGACGTCGTGAGAAACTCACGACGTCGGCCCCCCGAAATCTGGAGACCTTCCCTGGGATCGGTTTTTCATCCCGAGTCGTTCTTTGACGCTCCCGAGGCCCGGCGAGGGCCTCCAGAGGCCGAAGATCGTCAAAAACCTTCGTCGTGAGTGTCTCGCGACGTCGGAGGTCTGGGGACCCCCGACGCCACGACTTGTTCGCAACGTGGGCCTCTGGAGTTATCGACTCCTTCCCTGGGGTTAAGTCGGGGCCGTCCCCCTACAGGGGGATTTTCGATGAAAAATTAAAAAATACCCCAAAATTGCCCAAAAATGCCATACAAATAATGTGGGAACTACTTTTTGAGCATTTTGGTGCCTTTTTGGAGCATTTTTTAAATTTTTCGTCGAAATTCCCCTGTAGGGGGACAGGCCCGACTTAACCCTGGGGCCCCGTGCTCCTCACTCACGAGTGTGCTTTGCGGCTCCCGGGCCCGGCGAGGGGGCCCCCTGGAGGCCGAAGACTGCCGAACAGCCGTCGATCGTGACGCTGTCACGACGCGCGCATTCTGTTCAGGTCGGGCATGACCTCCTGCAGGAGAACTTTGGAAGAAAACAGCACAACTCAACAAAAACATCAAACATGGTCAAAAGAGACGAAACTCGTCACCAGACTATTCTTGCATGTTTGAATCTTCCTCCTGTAGGGAGTCATGGGAGACATGCACGACTTAACATTATGTGGCACTTGCAGGGCACCTCATCTGTCCCGTCGCCCCGCTATCCGCGCCGCTATCCGCGTCGAAACCATGTCTACCGCCTCGCATCCGAGTCAAACCCATATCGATTGCGCGTCGAGCTACCTGTAAAGCATCGTCGGATCCGCGAGGACCCCGCGTCGGAAAAGGAAAACCAATAATTGCCGCCACTCGCGTGACAGGCCGGGCCCCCCGAAGATGCAACGCAAGAGCCTGTCTGGGCAGGCCTGAGGGCCAAGACATCCAGAGCATCAATTGATTCGATGCGCGGGACCCTGGAGACCGTTTGTCTTTGAATCAGCGATAACTCGGGTCATCCCGGGGGGGGGAGGAGGGGGCCAGCCGATAACCTTACCCTCGCGCTGTGGGCAGCCCTGCATATCCCCGGACCTGCACAACCGACAAGGTTAGGTTATCCTGTGGGGGGAGAGGGGGCAAGCCCGATAACCCGGGCGATCGCCCGACCCTAAACAAAAACAGTCTCCTGGAGGTCTCGAGCACTTCCCCAGGACTGGTCTGCCGTCCCGAGTCGCTCCTTAAGACGGTCCCAGGGCCCGTTGAGGGCCCCAGGGGGGCCGGCGGCGGCAAAGGCTGGCCGCTCCACCTTCTTCGGAGCCTCGGCTACCTGGGGCCAGCGGCGGCGGCCAGCCGCGCGGACCTCCGGCACGGAGGTATAGGGTTAAGTCGGGCCTGTCCCTCTACGGGGGAGCATTCAAACATAGTCAAAAAATAGCATGGTGACGATTTGTCGACAATGTTTTTAATCTGTTGGGGGTATTTTCTGTATATTCGTATTTTTTCGCCCAGAATCCCCCTGTAGGGACAGGCCCGACCTAAGTATAGTAGGGCAAGGGAAGGGAAGGCTTCTTAGAAAGGCTGCTTCTTAGAAGGCGCCGGCCTGGCATCCACAGGCAAGGCCCGCGCCTTCTTAGAAGCAGTCTCCTTCTACGATGCCTTCCCCCGTCCCCCGACCCTTCGGTCGGAAATGTCCTCCTACAGGCGGGTATTGCGAGAGAACTGGACCATCGTCAGAACATGCTCAAACATAATCCGAAGAGCTGGAAAAATTGTGACCCGACTATTTCTAAACTACAACCTTGAAGATCCACCCTGTAGTGGGAGATGCCCGACTTCATCCTGCCCCCCTGTGCGCGCCACCAATAGGGAACCGCGCTCTATACACCGACGTTTTTGTGCGGCCCTGCACGGACCTTTGCGCAAGAAAGCGGAGCCTGGTGTATACGGGACCCTGGTGTTTACATTTTCGAATGTTTCCGGGGAGAGCGGGGAAACAAGTATACACTACACCACCCCGACGCCGTCCCCGACCCTCAAAAAGTCCTGGGATCGGAAGACGGCCCGCCACTGGTAATGTATAGGCTTCAGTTTCCCACCAAGGTCCGTCGCCCGGCGGTCCGTCGCCCGGCGGTCCGGTGAGACATGCCCGACTTAATCCTACTCCCTGTGCGCGCCGCCAGGGGTACGAGCCCTTCCTTCCCAGGAGCAGCAACGGCACGGGGGCTCGCCTGAAGACTGGGCTCTTCCAGCCACTCTGGGAGCGGGAGCTGTGCGACCGGGTGTTTGCGAGGCTCGGCACGGACGGCTGCCTGCATCGAGAGCGGCCAAGAGGGGGGTGTCCAAGAGGGGGGGGTGCAAATCATGACCGGCGGCATGTGCGCGGCCCAGCGGGGGGGCCGGGGACGTATTGAAATAAGAAGAGGCGCCATGAAATCAGGGGAAATGTCATGGCCCACGCCATGATATCCACCCCCCCCCCTTTGTCATCACCCCCCTCTTGTCCGCCCCCGACTGCAGCAGAACACGGGAGAGGCCCGTCGCCCGGCGGTCCTGGTGCCAGTTGCCGGGCGGCGGGGGTGCGGGCGCCTTCGGCGGCAGCGGCGTGGTGCCCGGCGGGTGCCTCGGGGGAGGGGGCCCCGGGGAGCGGAGCGCTCGGCCTTGCGGCCCTCTGGAGCAGCGAGGCGGGCAGAAGGCGCCGAGGCCGGCAGCGCGGCGGAGGACTCGAGGCGGAAGCCCGTGTGCCGTTTTTGGGGCGGTGGACAAACCTCCCTCTCGCCATCGCTCGGACGTCCATTCCCTGTGTTCTTTTCGGTTTCGTGCGTGGTTTTTTCGCCACATGATCAATAATGCTCCTCGATGGTCCTCACCGAGGGAAAAATGCACACGTCCGAGCGATGCCAAGCCCTTTAGTGAAAACGGCCTGGGACCGAAACCGACGGACCTGGACCCGCAAAAACGACGGCCGCGACGCCCTCTCGCGAACCGAACGGCCAATTCGCCAATCGACGTGTCGGGGTAGGAGGTCTGTCCACCCCCGAGTTTTCGGCCACTCCTGCGCGCTGGCCACTTCGCTTTTCGGTGCCCCCGTCCAGCTTCTTTCGTCCGTGCAGCCAACTCTGCCGATTGCCGCCGACGGAGCAGTTGGCTGCCGTTTTCGGCGTCGCGGGGGGCTCGCCAGACCACACTAACGGGCGGGTGGTAATTGGGGGGGTGGCCTAAACGGGGGATGGAGAAAAATGCCCTCAAGGGAGCCCTTCAGGGCCCTTTCCTTCAACCCCCAGTGGGATCACCCCGCACTGGCCACCCGCCCGACACTAGACCGTGAAAAACGATCTGGGACGAACCAAAATGTCACCGCGCCGTGGTCCAGAGCTCCAGGGACCCCCCGCATGCGGGGAAACCTTGAATATCGGTAGTCTGGGAAGGCGCACAAGTGAGCCCTACAAGACGACCAACTGCCTCACAAGTAAGCAATGACACCCACTGGAGCGGGGCGCTGGCGGCCTTCTCTCGGCCCTCGTGGCGAGAAGGCGCGCCAACACCGTGGGGCAGGGCAGTGGAGAGACCCACTGGGCAAATGTCTGATGGCATGGGTGGTTCAGTATGTCTGATGGCATGGGTAGTGAAATACAAGCGTCGGGCTGCTGGGCCTTAGGCCATGCGCCGCCGAGCTGGTCTCTGGCGCCGTTCCAAGAAATCCGCGAGCAGCTCCGAAAGTTTATGGGCATGCCCTGCTTCAACAGTCCCCGATCCCTTCCCCGCCCTCCCTCCCCGCCGCACGGCTCCTTTTTGCCCTGGATGGCGTTCGACGGCCCCTGGGCTTGGACCAAGCATGACAACACAGAGCCGCCGCATTATTTTCAGTTGATTCGCCAGAGGTCCGAGACGACGGCACGCGTCACGTGCTCCCACGAGTGGGTTGCAGTTCGGCTTTCTTGGAGCTTCTTCATCTGGCCATCGCTCGGACGTCCATGCCCTGTGTTGTTGTTTCGGTTTCGTGCGTGTTTTTTCCGCAGGATGATCCAGGATGCTCATGAATAATCCCGGCCGGGAAAACGTACCCACGTCCGAGCGATACCAAGCGATTGCCTTCCAAGAGAACTCCTCGGGCCTCTCGGATGCCCCTGCCGACCCATGGTGTCATGG